GCTCATTTAAAGCAATCAAACCACTTTGAAGATATGACATAATTTTATTTCCATGCAAATCAATAAATAGTATATTGTGGACTCCCAGCAAAGCATTGACACTTTTCTGAAGATCCATGAGCCAAGGCGAAATAAGAGTTTAGCTACCTTTGGTCCACTACATTACAAGAGCAAGAAAAAGAAAAAGGCAAACACAGTGGCAACTACAGCATGATGTTGGAATATTTTAGATAAACAAATCTTTGTGACCTTATTATTTATCCCTTCCTACCTCAGCATGCTAGCCCTACTATCTTAGAAATATAGTCAGTGAATAGAAACAATTGTATTATTACTACAAGAATTAAATAACTGTAACACCACATAATTAATTAATTTGAGGATGGATATAAAAATAGATGATAATGGGAAGGGGTTTAATATAGAATAGAAGGGAAAATGGAATTTGGTTAAAATTAGAGGTGAAAATGAAGGGTAATATTGGTAAAAAAATAGATGAAAATAAATATTATGGCAAAAAGGAGGTATAGAAATTGTAATTTTAGTTGAAAGGACTAAAAATTGTTTAAATTTGTTAACCGGCCAAATACTCTGTTCAGCAAAAATACATTGTATGTTTGTGTGTGTGTTTGTGTAAAAAATAAAAAAAAACTTTACAAAAAAAGAAGAAACAATTTGGTTTACTGGACCACAGATTCCTGACTGATTTACCTTGACAAGGACACTATAAGGAGTTGGTATGTATTGGGGAGGGGTATTTCATAAGTTTAGTAATGAATTCAGTATACTTGTATATTGGAGTGCATACCATTATATTTACATTTATCTTTTGCCGCTACATTTTCTTGAAGATAAACAATACATTTTAGAAGTGAAAATAATAACACACTCTGCGTTGAAGATATGCATGCCCCACCAGTTGCCCCAATTATAATGCATTTTTAAAAATGAAAAAAGAGGGAGCAGGATGCAACGAGCATCACTGTTTATGGCTTCTTCAAATCAGGTACTGAGGCTGGATCTATTTTCTGCTTCCTCCCTCCTGCCTTCGTCTCCTATTCTCTGGGTGTTAATTGAACAAGCGGGCTAAGGCAGCATCAATATACTCAAAATCAGCCAGCATTTATACTTAGAGTGCATCGCAGCCAATAACATCTTTGTCATTTTCATCCAGAAAGTCATGTTTTCACCTTGAGCTGTTTCCAGATCAATCTCAGTGGGAAACTGTTATTTTGACCCTTGGCTTCATAGGTGTTATTGTGTTCTTATTGCCAGATGGAAACACACTTGGTGATATTTAGCATTGCATATTTTATGTTTTTCTGCCTAGAGATATTAGATTCCAGTCCAAATTAGCTTGTTTACGTTGTATATGCTAGAAATTCATAGTTTCAGATGTTAATATTTATTGTTATTATTGTGGTTGGTCACATAGTCAGCCAGATGTTCAGACTGAATCTTTGTTTTCTTTTGCCATAGTAATTCAATTTTTATTTGCAGATCTTTGTATTTTGTGATTTTCTCCAGTTCTTTCTCTTCTATTCTGCTGACTTCAAGTACTGCACTACCCAGACATGTTTTTCTTTCTTATCAACAATTGTTAAGTCTGGGGTGTTGTGGTAGGTGCTTGTCTGTTTGAATTCTAAAGTCCCAGAATGCTTTAGCTTCTTCATTTTCTATTACTTTGTCTATTTTGTGGTTCTACCAGTTCTTGCTTGCAGGCAAGTGATGTTTCTTGCAGATATTCCAATACACTATTGTTGCTACTTTGCTATGCAGTTGTTTCTGATGAGCCTGTGTCATTTTTTGCAGCAGCTAATTAGGTGATCCACTGCAGTGGTGAAATCCAAAAATTTTTACTACCTGTTCTGTGGGCGTGGCTTGGTGGGCATGGTGTGGCTTGGTAGGTGTGGCAGGGGAAGGATACTGCAAAATCTCCATTCCCACCCCACTCCAAGGGAAGGATACTGCAAAATCCCCATTCCGTCCCCACTCCTGGGGGAAGGATATTGCAAAATCTCCATTCCCACCCCACTCTGGGGCCAGCCAGAGGTGGTATTTGCCAGGTCTCCAAACTACTCAAACTTTCTGCTACTGGTTCTCCAGAACCTGTCAGAACCTGCTGGATTTCACCCCTGATCCACTGTTTCTTCAGCTTCTTTTGTTGTCTGTGCTGTCTTCTCAATTTTGGTTTATATGCATTTCTTCAAGAATTGATTTTGTTGAAAATTAGCCCCTCTATCTCTTTTTTCAACTTTCCATGGCCAGGTCTTCTTGTTTTTTCGCCTTACCTGCTAGTTTTGTATGATGTGCTGTCCATGTAATATTTGATTTTGCCATATCTCTTTTCTGTTTTCTATTTGATCTTTCTTGTAGGCTATTTTTTTTTTGCTATTCGATTATTATCTCTTGACAACAATGTGAATTCACAGCTGCAAGTTCTTTAGCTGGTGTCGGTCTTCATATTCATTCTTCTTCAGGGGTGCTATTCAACAGGTTCTGACAGCGGAATAGCGGAAATTTTAAGTAGTTTGGAGAACCGGCAAATACCACCTCTGATTGGCCCCAAAGTGGGGTGGGAATGGAGATTTTGCAATATCCTTCCCCCAGGAGTGGGGAGGGAAAGGGGATTTTGTAGTATCCTTCCCCTGGGGTAGGGTGAGAATGGAGATTTTGCAGTATCCTTCCCCTGGGGTGGGGTGAGAATGGAGATTTTGCAGTATCCTTCCCCTGCCACACCCACCAAGCCACACCATGCCCATCAAGCCACACCCACGGAACTGGTAGTAAAAAAATTTGAATTCCACCACTGTTCTTCTTCCCCAAGAACTCAGAATGCTGTAATGTATCAGTATAGTATATATGCACTCCAAGTTGTTTGGTTTTTTCCAGCTGACAGATGGAAATGTCAATACACAGATTTTCTAAGTGCTGTACAATATTTTTTGGTCTGGCACCCAGTGTGCTGATAATCCCTGGGACTGCCATAGCTGATTTGTGCCATAATCTTTTAATTTCAGTTTTTTGGATCTTGATACTTTGTGATGCTCTCAGATTCTTTGTCTTCTATTCTATTATCTCCAATTCTTTATCTTCTATTCCACTATCTACTCTACTATCTACTATGTATTTATCCACATTTTTTTTCCTTTCAACCACAGTTATATCTGGTGTGTTATGAGTCAAGATGTTAATCAGTCTATATTCAGAATTCCACAAAATTTAATCTGCTCATTTTCAACTACTTTTTCAACTACATGTTCCTACTAATTCATTACTGGTACATGATAATGTTTACAGATTTTGCAGTGAATCATTTTGGTGACTGTGTTATGTCATTGTTTATAATCAGTTTGCATGACCGTCTCTCACAAGATGAATATATGATATTATATTTCATCTGCTTCTTTGCACAAAGTGCACTTCGAATTATTTGATGATTTTTCAATTCTCGTCTTCATTGTATTAGTTCAAATACCTTGCTCTTGTGCAACAAAAATGAAATCTTCACTTTCTTTTTTTAATGTTCCAGTTGTAAACCATTGCCAGGTTTTACCTTTATCCACCTTCCACATGATCATTTGTAAAAATTGACCATGCAATCCTTTTCCTTGCCAACTTTTTGTTCATGTTTTTATTACATTTTTTCAATATTCACTTGTTGCTTTAATATTTCTCATTTTTAACTTGCATCAATGCTTGTTCTTGACTGTCTTTTACATAACAAATCAATGCACACTTTTTTTCTTCAACAATTTGTCTGACTTGAAGGAAACTTCTTCCTCCATTTCTTTGGGGCAGGTATAATCCATCGATATCACTACAGAGATGTAATGCATAGTGAATGGTGATCAGTTTTCTTGTTTTGGTCTAAACTGTCTAGTTCAGCTTGTGTCCAGTTAATAATTCTAGCAGTGTATCATATCATAAGTATGACCCAGGTATTGATAGCATTACTAACTTTTGTGCTTGGTAATATTCTCACTCCTTGGATGTCTTGTTTATTAATCACACTTTTAACTTATCTATGCTTGATGTTATTCAACTGTAAACTTGTAGGCTTCATCCTAATGGTTCTTGATAGTTTGGCCATTTGGCATTTCAATAACATTACTGTTTGTGATTTTATCCTGATTTATTGCTACAGAGGCAATAAATTTCCCTAGGCCAAATTCCATTTCTAAATCTGTGCTAAAAATTTGTATAGACTTTGTCAATGATTGGACTTCAATTTCTGATTTTCTATAAAGCTTTAGACTGTGCGCATCAAACTTGCTGCATCACGTTGCTGCCACATGACATTTTGCAATATTTTCCCTTTCGCGGAGCTGGGGTGGGCATGGCCTGCGTGTGACACACCCGGCCCGTGGGCCACCAGTTGGACACCCCTGCTTTAGATGTTGATGTTGATGATTTAGTTTTATCACAATTATCTCTCTGTCTCTGTGATCTCTTATCTCTATTTCATCTATAATCTATCTATTATCTAACTTACATGTATATATGTAGGTATGTAACTCAAGGCAGCAGAGACACCTAATATTCTTGCTTTCTATTTTCTTTGCAACAGCATCTCTGTTAGATGGGTTGGGTGAGGTTGAGAGAATTACTGGCTTAAAGTCACCCAGTGGCTTTTTTGCCTAAAGCAGGCCTAGAAATCAGGCCTCCTGATTTCAAGGCCAGCACCTTAACCACTATATCAAACTAATATCTCTAATATCATTTCATGAACGCTTGCTGCAATTTGTTCTAGTTTAGCTTGCTGTCTTTGATATAGCTCCTCCAAAGTTATTAATTTGCTTTCCTAGTGTTAATATACCCTTTTAGAAAATATACCAGTATTCATTTTAATATCTGTGATGATGGGAGTTAAGTGCTGCATGTTGTGCTAAAAAACAACCGCAGCCACAAATTTGTTAAACTGACTATAAATACACATGATTTCCTAGGGAGCTAACATTCATGACAAGAGATTAATTTAATTGTTAATTGTTTTGCAGGTCACTATTCTCATAAGCCTGGCTCTTGCATTCCTTGCCTGCATAGTCTTTCTTGTGGTATACAAAGCATTTACCTACGACCACAGTTGCCCAGATGGATTTGTTTATAAGGTAAGAAGCCTGGGATGAATGAACTGTCTCAGCTAGTGATAGAATCTAGTTCGCTGCATGACTACAATTTAATCCTACCTTTCTCTGTCAGGACTGAAGATATAATTTGTCAACAACATGCTGAAAAGTGGTTAGTGCTTTAGGAAATAAAGGTCTGCAATACCCTCCAACAGCCTCAATTATTCTGAATCTGACAGGTATAAATCTTCAAGCAGACCTCAGCCAGCTACCCCCATTTATTTTTGAACAGGCTGACAAAAACTAGGTTTTTGACTCAGCTTAGTCTCAGCACCAGATTAAAAATGTAAGAGGCATACAGTTATGCACTATGCATTTTTAAAGTTTTGGGACATCTTTATTGCTCCTCAGTTTATTGTCACAGAATAAAGGGAGAAATAGGAGTAGGAGTAATAAAACTGAGGAAAAATTACCTACTGGCAAGCATGATTCACTGTCTTGTTGAATTTCAAGTCTATGTCTTTACATCTAAGGACAATATTCTTTTCATTAGCTTATACCAGTGACAGCGAACCTATGGCATACATGCCGAAAGTGGCATGCAGAGCCATCTCTCCGGGCACGCGAGCTGTTGCCCATTGCTCTTCCGGGTTCCAGCGCACTGGCCAGCTGGTCTTCATGTGCGCGAGAGCACCAGAAACCAGAACAGCAGCTGCCCAATGCGCATGTGAGTGCCGGAAAGATGATGTTCCGGTTTCTGGCCCGCACATGTGCACTGACCAGCTGGTCTTCACGTGCACATGCACGCCAGAAAATGGAAGATCAGGTGGCTGGTGCACATGCGTGCACCGGAAACCAGAAGAGCAGCCGCCCGGCATGCACATGTGCACCGGGCGGTTGCTCTTCCAGTTTCTGGCACTCCCGTGCACTTGAAGACCAGCTGGTCAGCCTGCCGGAACCCAGAAGAGCAATGGGCAATGGCTCACATGTCCAGAGAGATGGCTCTGTGTGCCACTTCTGGCTTGCATGCCAAAAAGGTTTGCCAATGCTGGCCTATACCCTACAAAGAGAACATATGTACTTGTAGTTCTGCTGAGATTTGCAGGACTATCCTAAGAACAAATTGCATCCAGGAAATAAATGTTTCTTTTGAGTCAGAATGCAGAATGGTATCCCATTGCTCTTTTGTTCTTTTGTTCTTTTTCTATTTCTTATTTTCTATAGTCTGAACTACAGTCCTGGGATTTTACCCATTCAAGTAATAGCCAGACCCAATTCTACATTTAGCTTTTTGAAATCAACCAATAGTCAACTGCCATGGAGCTGGGTTTGGTAGCTAGAATTGCACTCAAAATATTTAAACTTTTGCAAGGGGTTCAGGGTGAGTTAAATTGATGGCAAGTAGATCATTAAATAAAAAGGTGTTTTTGCTTAATTGGTATTCATGGTACCTGTTTTTTTCCCTTAATCTCCAGCATAAGAGGTGCATTCCCGCTTCTCTCGATGCTTACTATTCAGCTCAGGATTCCAACTCCCGGGGCAGATTCTACACCGTCATCAGCCACTACAGCATGGCTAAGCAAACCAGCTCGCGGTCTGTATCTCCCTGGCTTTCGTCAGGATCGGTAAATCATGAAAATAAGGCCGCTAAAACAGAAGGCCATTAAAGCCATGCGATGGCCTGGGGATGGAGGGAGTGGGAAAACCACATCATGTCTCTAAATCATTGCTCTAGTTCACAGAGGGCGCCTTGCTTATCGGTGTGACGAGAATACACTAACTCCAAGTGCAGGTGTCATCTTAATGGATAGTTTTCTCTCTTTCATTCATTCTCACCTTCCCCTTTAGTGCATTGTTCTCGTTAATTTGTAACTAAGTCAGGATCTTGTACAAAGGCATGTTAGGTGTTGACTATATCTCACAATGTACAAATATTTTTAAAACCATTGCTAAGTATTTGTTAAGAAAATAAAAATGAAACAAAAAAAGCAAACCCAGAAAACATTGACAAGAAGGTAAAAGAAACAGTAAACATAATTTATTAGGCCTTTCTTGGCTGAGAAAACAGCCTTGAAACTTGGCAAACAAAGGTGGGGAATTTGTTTATCACAATGTGACATGAAAGGAAAGTTCAGATCGATGGAGGAACTTTATAGTGCACAACCATCATATACAAATAAAATACATAATTGTTTGGGCAAAAATCCATCTCAAAGAGTTTTCAAGGGATGGTGATGTTATATGGATGCTTTTAAAGCAATTTAGCACCACTGGTGCTCCAATGTGCATTATTCTGTCCTTAACATTAAAATGAATGGGAAAGCCCTTACATACAAGGAAACTCCTGTCTCTTTACCAAAAGCCCCACACATGCATTAAACTATTGGATTGTGGCTACTAATCTTTGGTTGTTTCTCAAGAGGGAAATATTAGCCGTGAGAGTGAATGCAAGCAGGTTCCTATGTGTCTCCTGACTGTCAATCCAATTTTGAATACAACAATTCTGCCCTCCAACAATCCAAAACTGACCGCCAAAATTCAAAAACAATGAAGCAAAATCCGACTTAGAGAAAGAGGGTGAACTGCTATCTCAGAAGGGCCCGGGGTTGGTTTCTTCTTCTTCTTTTTTTTTTTTGGTTAATTTGAGAGAAAGACAAAAAATTATAGAAGTGAAACAAATTTTATTTTGATTCCTCAAGGAGTAAGAGAGGCTTATATCCCCTTGGTTCCTGGGAATCTTGCTCAACAGAGCAACAGACAGATACCACTGCAAATGCCCACCACATGGCCAGCCACTCTTACAATAGAGAGATTCAAAGTAACACAGGAGATAGCCTGTTTACTGTATGTTTGCCAAAATACATTAAAAATAAAAAATGGCTAGCCAATCAGGTGAGTTACCACACAAATAAAATGTTGCTAGAGATACAGAATAAGAGGAATAACAATGGTATCTGCTACTAGCCACCATGACCCCAAAATGATGAAATAATGCATTATGACATCACGAGGCATATGCCTGCCCTTTCATATCCCAAGATTAGATACAAGTACCGAAGTTATATGTTTTGCCTGGTGATATTATGACAATATGTAAACACTTGCCCTCCTTATGCCAGTGGGTATCAGATAGCTTCAGAAAATTATCATCCTTATTGGCAAGGCTCGTTTTCTTTCCTGAGAATCTGAAAGAGTTGGATAATACTGTCCTCTCCTCAAAATGTAAAAGACAGAAAAAACAAAACCCAACCAACCAACCAACCAAAACAAGCAAACAAACAAACAAACAAACTTGTAAGCAGCAAATAATTTTTTAAAGTGGAAATTATATTAGAAGTAGCACAAGCTGAAACAGTGATATTGGCTATTCAGCTTCACATTTTCTGCAATAGGGATCAAGAAGGAGGTACTGGTTCTCCTGTGTATTGGATAGTATTTGATGAAACGTATCAAATTAAATTAGCACATTGTGTAGATGATGAGTAAGTTACTAAAAGGATTTTAGGAGTATAACCTTGCTGTTTTATGCCACATTTGCATGCTGGCATTTTTAAATTCTTCCCTTTTCAATTGTCCTTCACCCTATACAATGACTAAACATTTTTTTAAAGAAATGCAAAATAATTTTAAAAGTCACCCATGACATAATGTCAGAGCAGCTGTGGAATAAACCACTACCACCGCCAAAAAACCCATGCATATTTCTATACACTCTCATGTAATCATGCCTTGCACCTACTGCAGATCATAGCTTCACTCTTTAAGAAGATTCTCCTAACTGACTTTGGGTTCATTTTTACTAATGAAGCCAACATCTAATATCACTGTCAATATGTAGGTGGTAAAGAGATACGGAGCTAATCATTGGGAAGCCATATTTTCCTCCCAGGAAAAAAATCCACATATGTTTCAAAAACCAAGCATATACATTACTCTTAATGGAATATAATGCCTGTGTTCATTTGCACCAAGTCCTTGGCATCATCTAAGAAACTGTGTTATACAAATTGTGTTATATATAGGCTACTAGTGCAGCAGGATTAGTACTAGTGACCTTGACAGGCAATGGCACTTCATAGTCTCCTAAAATAGTACTGATTAAGGCCACATGATTCAACCACTTCAAGGTCTGATCTGTGCTTAGATGGAAGACTCAAGTCACATGAGTCCAATCATAGACGTATGTGATACATGGATTTATATTACAGCTACATTGAGTTCATCTTCAGTAAATGAAACATGCTGAATTTTTAACAGAAGTTCTCAGAACCCCACAAATTGGCTTCCACAAAATCAGTAGAGCCATTTAGAATGATAAGAATTACTGAATAAATGCACAGGAGGAAGCAGTTCAAGAGTGTGTTTGATCTAAGACATCATATTAGGAAACTCTGTAATCTCATATAAATTTATGCTTTATAATATATATATATATATATATATATATTGGTTTTGCAAAGCTGGTTTGTGTCAAATTAACCTTCAGTTTCATGAAGAAACCAAGGGTGTGATCCACCAAATCTTAATTTGTATTAATAGGAGTTGCTTGGGACTGGTCAGTGGGGGAATTGCCCAAATTATGCAAATTAAACCAAGCTGAATGTAGAAAAAAAAAAAAGCTAAGCAAACAACAGCCGTTTTAAAATTAATCAAATTGTCACTAAGAGTCCTAAAGATGGGCCTCCTAATCAGATTCCTGATTTATATTTTACCTGCAAGAAAAAAAGAAAGCCTACTCTACTGGAGATGGAAAACAAAAGAAGTAATGATAAATGGTTGTATAATGTAGCCAAAACTGTAGTGCCAAATCTCATTGTCTTTTTATCCCTGTCTTTATCTCTTTCTTCATACTACATCTGTAAATCCATTTCTCATCTAAAAATGTAAAAAAAAAAATCATTGGAAAAAAAGTAAACAATTTCCAGAACAGTACTGGATAATTTATAATTTTGTGGTTGTTGTATGTCAGTAGATAGAAGAGACTGAAGTATTTTTGGTGTAGTTCTTGACTTTTTCTGACAGGACAAATAAAATTAGATGTGTCTGAGAGTCTCAACTATTGTGGTACCATTGTTTCCTTCCATTTTCTCACTAAGAATTTACATGAATATGATGAACATGTTAGGAATGATAAAACATGGATTGTGCATGTTAATTTCACCCCTCGCAAAATATAATAGACTATTCTTACATTTTTAACACCAACTTTACGTCAGATCAACTCAATTCATAAGTTGTTCTGGCTCATAGTGATCCCAACTGTCAGTTTCAGGACTCAACTGGCATCTGCCAGTCAAGTATATTAAACATTGCATAATTGCAATGAGTTACACTTCAAAATGGGTGGGTCCTTCACAGTTCAAACCTGCTGCTTCTGACAACCTTGCTTAGACATCAGCGACCCACGTACGTGCAACCACACAACATTCTTGGTATATACACTTTTCTTTTGTGAACATTTTGCAGCCATCACTTATTTTAAGATCCAAGCTGAAGTTATTCTGCAGAAACTCATACCTTTCTGGGAGGAGGGAAGTGCTGAAAAATTGTTCCTGAAAACTACTCAAACCCTGAGAAAAGTCAACAAAACTATGATTTAATCAACATCGTACTAGAAACAGAGGTTATAATCAAAGTCTTCTCAATATCAGCCAAGGTAAGTGAAATATATAAAGTGAAGCCTTTTCCATGCTACTCAATAACATTTTTGTCTATCTAAAAACACTTACTTTTAATTTAAAAAATGAATCAGATAAAAAGAGACTTGTGTATAAGAATGCATCACATGGCTCCAGAAATTAGGGAGGACAAAGATAATGATTAAATGAGAAAATATATGTGCCAATACATTTTACTGCCAATTAGGAGTGAATGAGTATGCATATGCAGCATTAATTATGCATAAGAACACATATACATCTACACATTATCTTTATTCACTGCCTCTTGTAGGATGAGCTTTACTTATAAGAACTTTGACACTGCATGAATGTACCAAACCATAATAATTACACACTTAAAGATGTGTAATTAAAGTTCTAATTTATATGAAAGCTTTTGTATTTCTGCAATCTGTCCGCTACAGAAAATTACATTGTAAATGCAGACATGACAGTGTGACTCCGAGAAGGGAAGATGTTACTCTCCATGTATGGAATCTACTTCATGCAAGCCATCCTTTGACAGGACAAGGGATAGTTTAAACCAGGGGTAAAATCTATTTACCTTCCCTACCGGTTCGGAAGTGCGTGCTTCCCGAATGCGTCACATGCACGCTTGGACCCTCTGCACATGCGCAAAGACTTCTACGCATGAGCAGAAGGTCAAAAACAAAGACGTAATGACGTCTGGGCGGGTGGGCGGAGACTTGTGCTGCCGCCGCTACCAGTTCTCTGAACCACGCATCACTGCTACTACGGGTTCAGCTGAACCGGTCCGAACTGGTAGCATTTCACTCCTGGTTTAAACATGAAATAAAACCAGTTCATGGAAACTAAGGCTATCAGGCAAAGTTAATCACAGTGGCTATTGCATCCTTTCAATGCTAATTGTTGCAGTAAACATGATTGGGAAGTATCAATGTTGAGACCAGCTCTTGGGTTTTTCCCAAGTATGTATTTAACCAATGGGAAAAAAATGCAGACAAGATGGAAACAAGGCACAGTCATTTTCTCAGATCTTCATATAAAGAGGGAAAGCTTTACTAGTGGCAGGATTCATTCTGACTTTACTTAACACTATCCCCTTTTTCCAATGCCCAACATTATGCTTGTTTTAAAAATATTAGTAACGTTGTTTTTAAGTGAGTTAATAGCAGAATTCACTGTTGTACTATAATCAGTGCAAAATTAGTCTTAAGAAATACAGATGATATTCCAATGTAGGTATAGGTCTATTCTTCATTATGAAATTTCAGCTTGGAAAATAGGGGAAACATTTCAGTCTGATCCCACATTAGTTTCTTTTATAAATTTTCCCAATGAAGAATCAATTGGGAATGCAGATAAATTGAGGTTATAGATTAAAAATAATTTTGCCCACCAATGAATTCTGTAAACACAACAAAGATACCTTTGAAATTATTCTGTGTCATATTCATGTAACAGAGTTGTTGATTAATTAATGTTTGCACAAGCTGCCGAAGCAAATTTTTCTCCCATTGGGCAAAAACTTTGGGGACATCACTAGCAGCAGTCAAAAAATGACCAAGACAAAAATACAAATATTTATGACATTACTGTGTGAATGCTCAAATTAAATGTGTATGTTCAAGAGGAGACTTAACAGTCCAATTTTTTACATGTACCTGACTTGGGTTTACTGTAAAGTAACCATTCACTTCATTAGAAGTTAAATAAGCATGCATTTCGAGGTGTATTCAGTTGTAAGTCTCACTGAGTTCGGTGGAACTATTAAATGTGGTTGAAATTTTCAAATCCCTTATCTTTTTTTTGTGAAATATCCAATGAGTTGGACACAAATGTCAAAAAAAAAGATACTCAGAACGGCAGCCAATGTACTTAACTTCAGTGAGCTGTTGAGTCTGAATTACAAGGAACCTCCATTCCTCACATCATAGGCACAGAATTATAGATATAAAAGTAAAAGAGAGCATAAGTCTTATGCTGAGCCATTTAAATTACCTCTATAGAAAGAAAAAAACATGTTGTGGGTTGTTTGTCAGTATTTTCTCTTGCATTTTCTTATGGACTCTATTTCCAATCCCTCATCTCTACTGGCAAATCTCTTTGGCTCAGTTGTGATTCTCTCTGATACTGTTAAGAGGGAACATTTTTCTATTTTCAGCCACCCTTGGGATTTTGTATGTGTGATAGTGAATATTAATAATATTTTGAAGAAAAAAAGAGCCTGAAATTGGGACAGCAGAGGCATTCAGGATCTTGCAATAACTGATGCCACTGTCAGGAGTTTCCCTGATAGGTTTAGTCCAATTAAAATGTAAAATAATTGTCATCCTTGAGTCCAAGCAAAGGTGGCCGAGTTTTTCTGCATCAAAATATCTGGCAGTAGAACATTGCCAGAATTATGAATCAATTGGCCTTGGATAAACATTTGCACCTAAAAGAAATGCATTTTGTGATGGCTTGGTTTAGCCTTTCAAAATGATAGCAGAGGAGAGAGAGAGAGAGAGGGAGGGAGAGAGAGAGGGGGGAGAGAAGGAGGGGGGAGGGGGGGGAGAGAGAGAGAGAGGGAGAGAGGGGGAAGAGGGAGGGAGTGAAAGAGGGAGAGAGAGTGGGATGAGTGAGGGGGAGAGACGGAGAGTGGGGAGGGAGAGAAATATTACATGTTTTCATTTTAAGGGGCTAAGGAAATGAGTCTTCTCTGTCATAGCCTCTCTCCAGGCATTAGGACAGACACATATGCCCAGGAGTTCCAAAAAGTAGTTTCTTGGTTTTTCTTGGTTTATATTTATATTTGTAAGCTGCCCAGAGTTTTTAGGAATGGGAGGCTATAACAGTTTTATACTGAATAATGACAATAATGGTTCATGTGGATAATATTAAGAATTTATTGTTAAACACTCATTGAAATATTTCACATATCATCAAAGTGATACACATCCAATCATCATACCATATTGACTTTTTATCTTTCAAAGTCCATGATCCAACACAATGGACTCTTTAACCACATGGATGGCAGAAGTGAGCGGAGTTTGCAGCCAGGCATTGTTCTTGGCTCGAAAAGTAAGTTGACAAATATGTAAAATCAATATATGTTTCTGAACAATGCATTCAAAACATGCATTCTTGGACTGAGTTGTATTTAGCAATAGCACTTAGACTTACATACTGCTTCACAGTGCTTTTACAGCCCTCTCTAAGTGGTTTACAGAGTCAGCATATTGCCCCCAACAATCTGAATCCTCATTTTACCAACCTTGCAAGGATGGAAGGCTGAGTCAACCTTGAGCCAGTGAGAATTGAACTTCTGAATTGCTGGCAGCCAGCAGTCAGCAGAAGTAGCCTGCAGTACTGTATTCTAACCACTGCGCTACCACAACTCTTGCCATGGTCCATATGCATAATTACATAATTTATACTGGAAAAATGCACAGATTGGGATAATAAAATATCTGCATGAGAGCAACTCATTGATTTTCCAGATATTTCTTACAAAAATGGATTTTCCAGGAAACAAATGGAACAGAACAATAAGTGCACAGATGTGGCAGTGACACAAATTGAATTTCCACATATCATTATGTTCCCAAGAATTGATGTCTGTGTTTATCACATAAAGAGATTTCATCTAGTTAAAAATACTTGGCTCAGATTTGTTTTTTATTTCCTGGAACATCATTGTTGTTATTTAAAGATTTCACTATATTTTTGTGTTAAATGCATATGCAAATAGCAGCTTGTTTTTTAAAATCTATTCTTCTGAATTAATTTAATTTCTGCTTGTCGGTGTTAACCATTCAGGTATAGAAAAGAAATTCAGAGGAAAGGGAAGTGGCCAAGCAAAGCTTGCTATTATATATATTATAATCCCTGAAATGCACCCTAGCATTAGAACTTGTCATGACTGAGTAAACTACAACCAAGAGGAAGAAGCCAAATAATAGTGCTTTATTCTTTTCCCCTCACTTTACACGGCCCAACTCTGTCAGAATATAGGGAAGATAATTAGCTGTAAACATTTGCCTGGATTCATGAAACTAAATCAATAATAGAATAACCACAGAGACCATTAATTAGTTCTCAGTCGCAGGGTATTGGCTTGATATATGTGATCACTTGCCAGTGCAATGGAATTTGTATAGACGGTGCTCTATTTCCAAGAGAAGATTCCTTGGGAACACCCAACCAGCAGCCTCAGATATCAAACTCAGGGGGTCATTTTGGGTGGGGTGGGGAGGATTAAGCCTGAAGGTCCTTAGTTCTGCCTTATGAACAAAATCAGAAGAGAAATGCCAACTGCAGCTGTTAGAATCTGCTAACCTAAGAAATTGTTGTCAGTTTAGTCATTTGCTGGATCAGCTGGGAAAAATAAGTACACAGTGTGAGATGAATTCCAACATATTTTTTGGGA